GTACTGGAGGAATGAGAAGCTTGCCGTGTCCTCTTGGAAGGACACTGGGAAACATGCTTCGGTTGTCAAAGACATCAGCAAGAACTAAGGCCCAGGACAAGTTGGAGTTATAGTTATATATCTATGCTACATTTATAGTTTATAAATACATAAATGCAACAGTTACTATCAAATCCAATAGAAGTGGCTCAATACCACGGCGGTGCGTGCCCTAACTTTCTTCGAAGAACGGAACCAGGATTTCAACTCAGCTCACTCCAGGAGTCGAACCACTAAGCGGCATTAGAAACAAGTGCCCCGCTAGTAGTAACAGGTGCCTTACTAGTAGTAACAAAAAGCTATTAGAATTAAAATTTAAATAGTGTCTTTCTGACCTGTTCTATCAAAGAGATGACGATCACGAGTCACAACAGCGGTTGCAAGGCATAACTGGGGGTGAGATCCTCACCTTCGAGGTTCGAGAGCCGTTTGGGGTGACCAAGGTATGACTGGGCTTAACGAAGAGTAGCTGATACTAAGAGTAGCTGATGATTTTTCCTCGGCCTTTGCCCGTGCCTCTATGACTTCACATCATCATCATCATCATCATCATCATCATCATCAACCTGCTTTGATGGCCACAGGACCCTCGTCGAACCACCAATCTTTTCCAGGCCAAGAGTTGCCGACGTGCAGAGAGTTGAGTATGTGGGTCAGAGCTAAGCGGCTAAGGCAGATGATCCATCTTCGGGTCTTCCACCAAATCTTGCTATACACAGCTAACAGGCCTCACCAGGCTCAGTGCGACAGGGTGGGGGTGCCGCCCGGGTCGCCCAGTACCACTGCCCAGGCGGCGTTGGATGGAAACCTCTTTTTCCTTCAACTCTACACAGAAGTTGGAGGGTTCTTAGACGCAGCTCCTCATCTGCAGCATGATGCTGGTGGATGCTTTGATGCTTTGTCAGTTCGTCGTTTTTTTTTTAATGGTTTACTATAATATTATATATGTTTCTTCTTTCAGGAACTACGCCCTACAAACAGGTGAAAAATACAACATTCGGTGAAGCTCCTCTCACGACGCACAAACTTGCCAGGTCGACAGCAAAGGCCGGACGGCTTTGCACTACAACTGCGCTGGAGGCTCTGCGCAGGCAGGAAAGCTTGAAGAAGAGCAATGAAAATGGTCCAAAGCCTCCGGCTTGAGGATGGTTGAGCTTGTTAGTGTTGCGGGATGTTTAGTTTGATGTTCAGGTGCTGGTTGAACATGTTCAGTTGTTTGCTTAGGCCCCATTAGGCGTCGGTCCATCATTTGTGGCCGAGAATTGTGGGGTGCTTTGGCGTTACCTCTATATAGGACCTGCAGTGACTCAGACATGTGTTTGAGTATATTTGCCCTGACAAAGCAATGCTGATATAATAGAGGACGCTACTAGGAGCAAAGGGCATCGCTACTAGGAGCAAGGACGCTACTAGGGGCTCCTGGCCTTACTACTAGGAACAAGAAGCTAGTAGAAACAATAGAGGTTGACATTTAAACACCGAGATGGGCCCCTAATAGTTTCTTGCTCCTAGTAGTAAGGCCAGGAGCCCCTAGTAGCTTCTTGCTCCTAATAGCGATGCCAGGAGCCCCTAGTAGCGTCCTTGCTCCTAGTTGACAGTAGCAACACCACAATGAATGTGCAAGTTCTTTAATGTGTGATTGAACCTGGTCAACAAGCTGTAAGTTGATACAAGTTCACGAATCGGATATTGTTTGTTGAAAGTCCTGTGAATTCCAGCACTCTTAAGCAGGCTCGCCTTGTCATTTCAGGCCGTCAACTACTTGCTGCAGCATGGCGCTAGCGTAGATTTGCTGGATCGTTCAGGCGAGCGAGCACATACCAGGACCACTGATGCGGGGTATAGCGAGGCAATGCGAGACACATAGAATTCTAAGCAACATGAGCCCGCCTTTTGTTTTTGAGTTAATCGCTGAGGGTCCGCAGTCATTGCCTTGAGGTTTCAGTTGCATGGCTTGATCACCTTGGGCATGGCTTGGAATAAAACATGCGATTCAAGCATTTTGGTGTGTAGAAGCGCTCGGTCAAGTTGATCAGCCGATCTTGTCCAAGACTTTTGCAGCTTTGTGATCCGCGAGGTTCCACGCCCTTGCACTGGGCTGCACGCTATGGTCACGCACCGATTGTAAGGCGATGGCGTCTCATGCCCTCGACATCATAAAAACGTGATGGCCTCCAACCTAGTAGCTTCTTGCTCCTAGGAGCGATGCCAGGAGCCCCTAGTAGCGTTCTTGCTCCTTAGTAGTAAGGCCCTAGTAGCTTCTTGCTACTAGTAGCTACTTGCTCCTAGTAGCTTTTTGTGCTCCATTCCGATCTCAACACGACTTTACGCACTTGAGCCTTGTCCCACCACCTTGTGAGAAGCTTCTACGCCAAGGAATGTATCGCTTACGGAAGACAGTCTACGTAGTTCTTAGCACTTGAGACACGGACGCACTTGCTGGACAGGATAACAAAACTATTCAAGGGGCTTTTCAGTTCAAGTATCCAAAGGTCATCCACGAGTTTGCGACGGACAGGACAACTGCATCCCCTAAGCCGCTTGGGTAGACCAACTAATAAAACGGAACACGGCAAGGAGGTCGACCTTTCAAAGATGTGATGTGATCAACTATCAACTACTCATTAATTATTCCCTGCAATGTGCACCATCTGTCTTGTTCACGCCAAGTGGATAGGCGGAGTGCAAAAGACACAAAAGGAGCACGGACGCTACTAGGGGCTCCTGGCCTTACTACTAGGAGCAAGGACGCCACTAGGAACACGCTTACAATTTGTCTCTATATCGTGAGACAAACATCTCCACACCCTGAGGGTCGTAACGAGTTTCGTCATCCCTTCCTACTGGTACTAAATCTCAGTTTTTTTTCTACCCTACGTCTCTTCGCCTTTGCAGGCTGCTGCTGGAGTCCAAAGCGCATCCAGATTACCAAAACAGCATGGGCGACACCGCGATGCATGAGGCCCTCGCCACGACATGGAAGAACGAGGGCCGACCACGGAGATCGTAGGAATCCTTGAGATTTATAGTAGCGTCCTTCGCTCCTAGTAGCGATGCCAGGAGCCCCTAGTAGCGTCCTCTTGCTCCTAATAGCGATGCCAGGAGCCCTTACTAACTTCCGTTCTAATTGAACAAACAAACACCTTAGACCATCATGTCTATCATCCATGTTCACCTCCATGTTCGCTGTGTGACACGCCAGGCTGCTGCATTAGGGCTTCTCGAGCCATTGCAGTGGCTGGTGCGATGCTTCACCGGGTGGCTGTTGAGACCTCCGAGAAGCGTTAACCATTGGGGTGTCACAGAAGGAAGGTGTTTTGCTGTTCAGCCTACATACGCACACATCCAGGGTGGTGCCCTTAAAAGGAAAACCAGCCAAGGTGACACTGCGGTATTGTGCAATCAATAGTAGTAGTAGTAGTAGTAGTAGTAGTAGTAGTAGTAGTAGTAGTA